ATGCACTTATTATGTGCATCAATAACTCATAAAACCAGCGGCAAGAAATGCGCACAGAGCACGGATGGGCAAGTATTTGATCCTCTATTTTGACCAGATGTTTTTACTAGAAACTGAGAGAATTTTGGTGGGCCATTTGTTGACCCTTTTCTTTGATATAAGGTTTCTGATATCTATACACCAGAATCACATTGACAATCAGCAGAAAACTTCTGAAAAAAAGACAAAGATTGATTTTTCAAGAAAAGAAACTGACCCAAAAATTGATATAATCTGAGAGAGTGTTTTGTGTATGACAAAATGCATCTTCCAAATCCAAAGGGGAGTAATGCTGCAAGAAAGGTTGGTGGCAATGGCCTGGTCGCGATTGCTATTGACAACGATAAGGGAAGCCAAAATGCACTTAAATGGACCATTGAAAATCTTCTCACAAGAGGTCAAACTGTAGTACTCATTCATGTCTTAAACAGGGCGCCTGTTGCTTCACGTATGTATCATAAATAATTCTTTTGTTCTTGATGTTGTGCTTTGTTGAATGCCCGAATTTGGAGCATTTCTATGTGTGAAAAAGGACAGATACAGGAAAATGTTGGTCAGGGAGGAGGCAATAGCTCTTGAAAGCATGTAACTAGGCATATCTTGAAACGCATGAATTGCTACGATGATGGTGAAGTGGAACCGGATTAGTTGAGAATAATTGCAGTCGATAAAAAATTATCATAATTACATGCATATTGCCTGGTTTTATATGCAAAAGAAACGGGGGCAATGCTGCGATTCCTCAAGAATCTCATCACCAATGAAGAACCCAAAAATGGTCTTGAGATAAGTTGAAGCAGAATGTTCGAAGCTGCTTATCTGTGGCATATTTACCCTGAGGCTAGCCTTCATTTTTATGAGCATGAGGAATGTATATTAGTTCTATGCTTGGCATGTGTTATACTGAAATATCTGTCAACATTAAATGTATAACGAAATGATATTCTGATAGCTCCAGAGATTTGACAAAATACACTTATTTCAATTACTTGTTTTTGTCCAAGGGACATTTGTGAACAATTTTGCCATTCACGATCTGTATGCCGCTGCAGGTGTGCATCAGCAAACGCTTGAAAAACTTACTAAAGAGCTATTCCTTACTTTCCATTGCTTTTGTACTCGCAAAGATGTAAGCTGAATTAATGCCGGCTTTTATATTTTCAATTTGAATTGTCAGCAGACAAACTTTTTAAGTTTAAACAACACATGTATCTGAATAGTTTTACTCAAAACCTTTTCTTTTATATTGTGACTAACTGCAATCGTGCATGCAAATCCATGTTAACAGATACAATGCTTCGATGTGGTACTGGAGGACACAGACATAGCAAAAGCATTAACAGAGTATGCTGCCCATGCTGCAATCGAGAACTTGGTTCTTGGTGCATCCCATCATGGCTTTATCAGGTTACTTTAATTTCCTCTACTACCGTTGAACTACCTCATTTGAAGGACAATTTATATTTTTTATCAGAATAACATGCGCATGATTTTCATAAATGGGTGATATGAGCCTAAACTCATGCGAGTTGTATGCTCTGATACGATGTTGAATCACCATTCAAAGCTGAAACTGTTAGTGATGTGAGGAATATTAATTTTATTGTCTCCAACAATTTCAGCTTCAATTATTCCTGCTGCCTGTGAATAATATAGATAAGTTTAATCCATTACCAAGATGAAGCTGACAAGGAGCTGAACACAGAGAGATTAGATTTAATTAGAGCATTGAAAACATAATTCGTATTACCCAAATCCTCTTTAATTTTTTTTCCCAATTTTATCTCAAGAAATTTCTCCCACATACTTCAACGATCTATGTACATCAAGGACTCAAACTCATGGGAAAGACTGTTGTGCGACAGGAGATTGAAGACAGTAGACATTCCGACCTGCGTATGCAAAGTAGCTCCAGACTTCTGCACTGTTTATGTTATCTCAAAATCAAAGATCTCCGCTGTGCGGAATGCTTCTCGTCCAGCACCATTCACTTCCCCCCTTCATATCCAAATACACCAAATGCAGGACCATCCTAATGGTGGTAATACTTTTTCCCCTGATGCACGTCCCACTCCCAGGCATACTCCCAGTTTAAAAGGTTTGTCCTTCTTTCCATGTGTGTTATTTTTGCCATCTGTTCCAAATTATCTCGTTTGTGTAATACAAAATAAATGTTGAGCAGTTACAGGAAGGACACCACGAAAGTTGATGATGCTACCTGATGAGCACGATTTACTCAAGTAAGTCTCTCCAGTAAAAATATTCTTGTTTCCCTCTGTTCCCAACTCCTTGGTTCAAATTTGCCAATCCATATGACACACGTCCTTTTTCAGAAAATAAATATAGAAGCCAAGATTTGTACATAACAGTTTTAAGATACAGGTCTCCATTTTCAAGGTCAAAAGGTTTCAATGGAAAGTTGTTCGGGGATCTCTCAGAATCTGAATCTGATATATCATTCATAAGTTCTGATAGGCCAAGCACGGATCGTATGTCCAGTATGATCCTCGATGGCATGGATTCAGGTAGGACCTCACGATTGTCAACCAGCTCAGAAAGTAGTAATGGCTCAGTGCTCTCAGGGGCCAAATGGAGCGTATTCAGTTCTTTTACTGACTTCTCATCATCTTCACTTGAAAATGTAAGGACTACATCTTGATGACCGAAGATCTTAAATGTTTATTCATCTTAAAAAGATGAAGTTACTTGTTGGTAATCATTTGTAATATCATCCTCATGATAAAATCACTGGATGAACATGTCGACTAGATTCTGATGATTGCTTCTACAGGATGATGTTGAAGCTGAAATGAGAAGGCTAAAGCTAGAGTTGCAGAAAACAATGGAAATGTATAGCACTGCCTGTAAAGAAGCTCTAACAGCAAAAGAAAAGGTAGGTTAATGGATATTCTTTATAAATTTTCACCATCCTGTATAATTGCTAACTTATATGTGGTACAGACAGTGGAGCTACAACGATGGAGGATGGAAGAAGAACAAAGATTAGAAGAGGCTCGACTTGCAGAGGAAGCAGAGAAAAAGACTTCTCAACAACAGCAAGGTAACTCCAAGGCAAACATAGAGAATAATGAAGCAGCTCAAAGAATTGAAGAAATAGAATCACAAAAAAGAATAAAGTCTGAAATGAAAGCCATTGAAGAATCAGGCAAGGAGCAAGACACGTTAAATCCATTAATTTCATTAAGATACAGAAGATATACCATTGATGAAATTGAAGAGGCAACAGAATATTTTACTGAATCTCGAAAGATTGGAGAAGGAGGGTATGGTCCTGTTTTTAAGTGTCGTCTTGATCATACACTAGTTGCAGTTAAGGTCTTGCGCCGAGATGCTGCTCAAGGAAGGTCACAGTTTCACCTAGAGGTGAGAATGAAACAAAGTACTAACTGCAAAATAACATCTCTTTTGTAACAAAATAAGGTGCTTCTGATTTCATAACTTGCATCACACTGACCACGTCATATCCAAAAAGTGTATGTTGAAGAATTAAATTTCACTTGAACAATTATGCACATACCTTATGCAGGTTGAAGTTCTGAGTTGCATGAGACACCCCAACATGGTTTTACTGCTTGGAGCCTGCCCAGAATACAGTTGTCTAGTTTATGAATACATGGCTAATGGTAGCTTGGAAGACCGTCTCGTCCAGAAAGGAAACACGCGGCCACTCTCATGGCAACATCGATTCCGTATTGCTGCAGAGATTGCCACTGGCCTACACTTTCTTCACCAAACCAAGCCAGAGCCGCTGGTCCACCGTGATCTCAAACCGGGAAACATTCTTCTTGACAATAACTTTGTAAGCAAAATCAGTGATGTTGGATTAGCTAGACTCGTCCCTCCTTCTGTAGCAGAGGATGTAACACAATACCGAATGACATCAACAGCTGGAACATTCTGCTACATTGACCCTGAATATCAGCAAACAGGAATGCTCGGGGTTAAATCTGATATTTATTCCTTTGGAATCGTTCTTCTACAACTATTAACAGCCAAACCAGCAATGGGATTAACTCACCTTGTTGCCCGATCAATTGAAAGGGGGACATTTAAAGAGATACTGGACCCTTGTGTGCCTGATTGGCCAGTTGAAGAGGCCATGAACTTTGCAAATCTAGCAATCCAATGTGCAGAACTAAGAAGGAAAGACAGGCCGGACTTAGGCAAGGTTGTTTTGCCTGAGCTTGATAGATTGAGAGATTTAGCAGATGAAAATATGAACCATTTCTTTGTGGGTGGAAGTGCAGGTCCCTCCCCCAGCTACAGCCACGCTTCTTTGGCGCAGGTCAGTCTAAGAGAAAATCTAAGAATTAAACTTTATCTTTAGCTGTTACAGTTGCAAGTTTGGGAACATATGGAATTACATATTAACCAGATGATATAATTTTCCGGATGCACAAGGAAACTTACAACGGTAATTGAAATCAAGAATTTTCATTACATTAAGAAATTTACTTTGGTCCTCACAACTTTTATGTTGCATATGTAAAGGTTCTATCTTGAAGTCTCATGGGTACCCTATCTAATCTATGCGGACCGTAATATCTTGCAGCCTATTCATGTGTTTCACTAACCATGTGAAGATTAGACTTGCTCCATATTTAACAAGTTCTCACCAAAGGCCATTATTTTGATACAATTTAATTGAATTTTTGTTAAGTTCATGATAATTTTCAAGACCTTCTGAATGAATTCCAAAATGATCTAAACAACTGAAGATGCTTATGCAGGAAGTCAAGAGTGATCCTCAAGTACAATCTGAATACAGCAATTGCAAGGGCTGTTCAAGCTCAGCATCACTGCCAGAAAATTTTTCAGGTACATTGTAAGAATCATATGCATATTAATTACATCATAATACAAATGAAAGTGCCTTTCACTTACTGTTCCTTTCCATTGATGCAGAAACTAATGCATAAAGTTCTGCAGCAAGAAATTGCCCGAATTCTTGCAAACAATTTAACTGTAATAATATAAGTTGGATCAATGCTAAGGCCTCTGTACATTGTTATGGATTTTGTAACTGTATTAGAACAAATCAGCTCAGGCTAGAATGGCTTTGAAGCTTACTTCTTAGTTGATTTGTATGTTTTTTAGCTGGTGAGGAGTAGAAGAATTTTGTCTGTTTATACTCCTGTGCCTATTGGAGGTTTATAGTGTGATGTAAATTTGTGATTTACCTTGACCATTTGATGGATATGTAAATATTATGT